AAAATAGTTTATACAAAATCACACTTAACGTATAAAGTTTAAGGACGATTTTCTCACGACTATTTCTCTCTACTTACGGCAGATATACATACATTTCGCGGCAGTAGGTACTTACAAACAACAAAAATCAAATGTGTGCGGTTGTTTTGAAGTGCTTATGTATTCGAATTCTTTATAATACTAGCGATTCGACCTGGCCTTACATGGAAGCATTATAAATCATTGAATTTCTTCGCTTTTCTGTACCAATAATATTCGTGTATTGTACATGTAAATCTTCCTCTTGAATGACTATCTATTGCCGAAAATGCAATAAAATCCGTTGCGTAATTTGGAAGTGAGTATAGATCTAAGCGTACAGACAGCGGCGACGACTGTTTTGTACTATGTAAAGATAAAACTACTTATTTTTTTTATATATTTATGTACACTTTATTTTATTTATCTTAATATTACTTAACAGTTTTTTTCAGTGGATTGTTAAAATTCTAAGTGTTAGTAATGTGTACTATTTTTTTTCTTTTAATGTATAATTGTAATGAAAATAGTGTTGACATTGACAAGATCAACGGCCGGCCGCCACGTGAGTGTGTACAGCTTGTCGATACTCTCGTATCAACATTGATATTCGGCACTCCCTTATCGCCTTATCGACTGTTATCACTGGCGTCACAGGTCAAAAACCGCGCGTAACCTTCGAATAGAGGCCGGACTTCCTGCGGCTATTATATGGGTCACATGTTCATACTGTGCGATGGCGAAGTAAGAATGCTGTGTGTTGTTCTTTTTCGTCACCAGGATCGCGACGTCCTGGTGATTACAGTAGGTCGAGGAGAGTGGATTTTTTTTAATGTTCTTATACACATATAGAAAGTTATTAGCTTAGTACAGTAATTGTAGTTTGATTGCAAACTCTACTTTTAACATAAATATTTCATTATTATCAATTCGAAAGTAAGTTTGTCTAACTATATGTTTGTTTGTTACGGTTTTACGCCTATACTTCGCAGCGGATATTATTTGTCTTTGTACGCAATATTAATTTGATATATATAACAACTGCGACAGGTCCCGGCTTCGCACGGATACATTACAAATCTTTGAATTATCTGCTTGTCCTATACGCAATAAATACATATAAACCTTCCACTTGAATTTCTATCTATTTCTAAAAACTACATTAAAATTCGTTGTGTAATTTCAAAGATATAAGTGAACAGACAACTTTTTATAAAGATAACTTTATTATTGTTAAACTCCATAAAGTTATTATTAGACGGACATGACATCTTAGTCCTGTGGAATGGCAACGCATGCGTGTTATCACGGGTGTCACATGATAACGTGATATCCGTTCGTATATATAGACGACGGTTACTGCTTTCCATCAGGTGCGCCTTAAGCTTATCTGCCATTTCAATTACATAATAAAAAAGAAGGTAGGGAGACATGTGAAGAAGATGATACAAACATGATTCTTTGTATAGAAATAGATACACGTGTTAATTTGCTCCAACACGTGTCGAGGATAACTAATTTCCCAGGTGTCACAGTTAAATTGTATTGTCATAACGTTTGTGTTGGTATTGACAACTTTATTGCATTCATATTAAGAAGCAATTAGGAGTAACTGATTGAATAGAGCGTTATCCAACGTCATAGAGTAGTAGAACTTTCAATTATATATATATATTGAATGGCGGTGAATAACTTAAATGAATTTATTTACAACTTGGAAGCAGGATGGGACCCTTCATTCAGGTTTGATGCGACTGACATCGTGAAATTCAGGTGGTCGGTTCGATATCGCGTAAAATACAAACATTTGCATTCTGGATTTTGTGGCTGTCTTAGTTACCCATAGTACAAGTTCTTAGTTTCTCTATTCTCTTTCTGCATAGTTTGAGATGGAATGATGATGCTGTAAGGTGCCCATCCCTATTTATTATTAGTGTCTTTGCTTTGCTAGATTGGAACTTAGGACCTTTGGGTTCAAGTCGGGACAGCAATCCACTAAGCCACTACGACATATATACCGTCATACAATAAATGTTAGACGCAAAACCATAGTGGAGAATAAATCAATCGCGCGCCGGTTTTCGTTTCTGACAGATTATCGAGAGGTTTTCATTAAACCAATTTTCAGTTTCATCCAATACGATCGGTTTGCATTGGAAACACGTTAAAAAGCTTTTTAGAATGGCTGTAGGCAATGACGCTTTCACGAGAAATGCCATTCGGTTACGTTTTATGGAACTCGACAATTTTTTAACTAATTTTTGAGCAACTCTTTAATTCAGTAACAAAGTTGACAAATTCTACTATATAATATAATTGTTACCAATATTATAAATGCGACTAAACGGCTAAACGGACGTTTTTTTTTATGTCTGAAAATGGAGTGGTGCACCCGACTGTGCTGTCAGTTTACACTGGCGGGGCACTGGGCAAAAATTATATGATGAGCATGAGGTCCAGTTAGTTAACCCATCATGACTAATTCGCCAGGAATTTCGTCAACCTGACTTGGTACTTTGCTAGCATTGGTGTAATTAGTCCATATTACTAACAATTCCCTTCCCTGTGAAACGGATGTTACTGGAATGTGAAGATGTATTTTATTAAGGAGATGTATGTACATATATACGATGACTGTTATCCGAATTCACGCGACGGTGCCGCGTGGTTATAAAGAAAATTGAACTTGTGTGCAATCCTTAGAGAGTTCTCTCCCCTACGATTGATCCCCTATAATATTATAATGGGCATCGACTCGATTGAAATAGTCAGACAGGACTTGGCCTTCAGTCGCTTTCGTCCCTATATGATACGGCTCTAAAGGCCAGTTGCAGCCATCAACATGAGAATAGTTCGAAAAAAATAGTCTATATTACATAACTTTATCCTTTATCAATGTCCCGCGTGTGTATAGTGTTAACGCAGGCGAGTGTATAATTCTATATTCTTCAGTTTAAAAAAACTGTGTAATATGTACCTAGGGATACTTACAGTTATAAGAACCTAATATTATTTTATAGTACTACATAATAGTATAAATATTATTATATCACATTTTATGCTTTGATTTTTTATGATTATTTTTACACCGCCAACAATTATTCTCAGCACTAGCTATGGTTGACTGGTAGAAAATACCGCATGGTTTTAAATCCGCCAAATGTACTGTTACTTTTTGTACTGTGTGTGTTAAAGTTATATATATAAATATAAGTTTCATTTCTATTGCTGGATGTGCTGAACTCTAAAAAGCTCTATTATCTTTCCAATCCACAGTATATGTACGTGATAGGATTATGTCAGAAAATCATATTAGTGGTTGCAACAAGGAGCTGCGTAATAGACGCGTCAAATTGACCAATCACACGCTTCCTCTCACGAAATGAGTTTGCATGTACGTACGTGAGTATTAGTAATTGAAAGAATCTCGGTACTAATCTAATGTGGATAATGGTTTTTCTATGACTGCTTACGTGAGAAGGTAGCGTGAGATCGCGCGATTATGTTGCTGTTGTCTCCTTTAAAACAGTTCTATAATATTAGCAATAGTATGGGGTATAATTTTTTAATGTTCATCTAAAAAATATTCATCGATCTCAAAAACTTTTGTAAATATGAGGGTCAGACAATCAAATTGAAGTTGTATTGCCTTTTACTTCATTTGTGGTGCCAAGTAATTATTTTTATAGGAACTATAAATAACTAGATCTATAAATACTAATCATCTTTCATAATATCAGAAATGCCACAATTTGTCTATGTGTACATTTAGAATGTTTGGTTCTTTATCATTACATTTTCCCGACTCAACGAATCAACAGTTGTTAATCAAATTTGACGTAAAGATATATTACAACACAAGAAATGACATAAGTTATCTAAAAAAAAAAAACAATAGCGTGGATGATAGCTAAGTTATTTATGAAACAAAAATTAGAATATCTCTACTTGCATGAAACATTGAAAATAAAACATGTAAGCAATATATCACTTGCGCGTGATACATGGCGAAGTAAATAATTTTCTGAAAGAAAAATGGCGTAGGTATCTATTTAAAGGGGACTATATGGATCAGCGCGCAATCTAGGCGTCGTAACTCGGACTCCTTTGTCCTGATCGCAATCTCCATAAACCAGCTAAACACCTAGCCGAGATTCCCCTCACGGGCCCTAGGGGGACCGGGTGGCGCCCCCTCCTAGTTGTACGGGAGTTAAAGTGCCTTATGATTTCGCTACTTCGCTCGCCCACTCCCCCGTCTCGGAGGTGAACCCGCACTTTTATTAATCCATAAAATTTCTACGCGCCCGCAGCGACGCTTATTCGCCAAATAATTGCTTATGTTTTGACTTTTGTGACCCGAATCTTATGTGTGGATATAAAAGTCGGTGTACAACTGTGCAATTAATTTATGACTGTCTTGATGAGTTTAAGAACGAACATGTATGTGCTTACAATACATATTTTTACTATTAGATAGTCTACAAATATTATAGGATTTTTTTTATGATTGTTTGTTTATGTTTGAACTCAAAATATGGCTGAATAAAAAAAATCCGTTTTCTTTTTTAATTAAATTGAAAAGGTAAAAAAAAAAAACACCTGATGATAAATGGTAACTGTCGCCTATATTCATGAACTGCAACACGGATATTCCATGAACATGTGATACTACACATGCCTTACCATTCTGGAGGACTAAAATGTCATGCCTCGTATCCTGTAATTACACTGCCTTATCTCGACCCTTCTACCGAATAACAGCTTACAAAGTACTTGGGAGAATAACCTACAAATTTATCACTGATGTCTACATTACTATGTAATTTCTATACCATATTCGTGGACAGCGCCGTAAGATTTTATTTCTATCTATCTACGAATATGATTTTCATTTAAAGACCGTAACATAAATAACATATGCATATATGTTGGATCTGATTTTTTTTAAATTACTTATGAGGATATTTTTTTTTTGTCAACAGGTTCGCGGCGCGAGAGCGAGTTCAAAAAGCCTGCGCATGCGCCGCAAAATGGTCGTATACACCATCGGCAGTTTTACAACAAGGTCTGATATTATAATAATATTACATTCATCATACATCATCTAATTATTCAACAATAATAAAATGTTAGGTAGTTTAATCTTAAAATTAAATATGCTAAATATAATAAAGATTTAAGTATTGTGCAGTTATTCAATGTATTGACGTATTATTTCTATTTATCTTTAAAACATACTCTGTGGTATAGTGGTATTGTACACCGTTTTACTTCCGATGTTAGCAGGTTCGATTCCTCGCAATAATACAAACATTCGTATTCATGAGTATGATTGTTTGTATTAGTCTGGGTGTTTTCTATGTATTTTATGTACGTATTTACAAAAAATGTATCTATGTATTTATATTAATTGTCTAGTATCCGTAATACAAGTTTGGCTTAGCTTGGGACTAGTTGGTGCCATGTGAATAGTCCTGACATATTATTCATGATTATCATCAGCCCACTGCAGTCCACTGTTGGGCATAGGCATCTGCTAAGGCACGCCATTGGGCAATTGTACTATGATTGTTATTTTTATTATAAATTTATTGAAAAATGATGTTAATAGTGTTCATAAATGAACGTTGTATTTGCTAAAGCGACGTGTTACCTATTTAATATCAGTTAGCAAAGTAAATGTATGTCGGTTTTATGCCCAACGGTCCATTCATGCAAGCAGGCGCTTGAAAAGTTAACAGAATTAAAATGCAAGTGAGCACGGCGGCTAATAAGTTTAATGTTAGTTTAAGTCGGTGTGACCACTGGCGGCCTCGTTCGTTTTTCTTGAAAACTTTATGAAATTAACATTTTCAATCGGTGAGTGTGCTTTATTAAGCGCTTTTTCAACATTTTTAGAAGTTTACCGGAACTGTTGGATGTTTTTCTTCGAATTTTCAATGTATAACGTCTTTATTGTTTTTTTTATTTTTGCACGCAATTTTTAATCACCCTGAAATGGTTTTCTTTAAAAACTTTATTTTTAGTTTCACATACATACATACATATGTAATTAAATTATAAAAGTTTACTAGAAATGAAAGGTAAGTACAAGAGCTAACTTATCTTTAACAAGCTTCTAGCAGTTTAGCACACCGCTTTCTTCCGATGGTCGCGAGTTCGATTCCTCGCACGGTGCAAACATTTATATCATGAGTATCAGTCTGGGTGTTCTATGTATATTATGTATGTATTTATAACAAATATATATATATCTAAGTCATTATATCAGTTGTCTAGTAGTACCCATAACACAAGCTCTGCTTACCGTGGGACTAGATGACGCTATGTTAATTGTCCAAGGTTATTTATTATTATATATTATTATTTCTTGTATGTATTTCTTGTGTTCTTAATTGTAACTAAGGAGTGATCCTTAGATTACTTGCTATTCATTCCATTTACCTAAAGGAAAGTGATACCCTACAGCCTATATTTTGGAGCCAGTACCAAGACCATCACAAAACTACTGTGGCGCCCGTTCCACCTCACATGCGTTGTCATTAATTAGAACTTAGTTATTTAACCTCCGTACTTTGCAATTTTTCTTTCATATCCTACCTTTTATACTGGAACACAGGTTACGAAGCAATCAATTTGAAGAGATTAATATAAACAATCACTTTTATATATATATTTTCGCACAAACGTACAAATATAATAGCAATACATCAAGAACAAAAACTGCTGTTTGTTTGCTACTAAAGCGCTTAAAACATACACAAAAAGAAAGAGAGACTCTAAATTCCACTATTTTTTTTTATACATCATTAACATAGATCAATATAGAACGCAAAGACTATACAAGTAGGTAAGTATAGCTTAATCTTAATAGGATAAACGCTAAGGTTTGTGAGTATGGATGATTTACTTACTTAGTTACTCTTTCACGCAAAAAGTACTGAACGGATATTGATGAAACTTTACAGTAACGTAGCTTATGCTTCGGAATAAGGTATGTTTTATATTGAAATTTATGTATTAAAATTTAACACAGGTGAAACCGCGGGCACAGTAATTAATATATTTAGAAAAATAAATCTTTTTCCCGCCTGGGTTCGACCTTGACACAGTTTCTAAGGTTTCCCAATATTCATTCTGTTATTTTACTACCTATTTCGTTTTACGTCTATTTCATGGTTCAACTTCTTTAACAGAGCGAGGCGACAGGATCATCTGGGACGACTGCGCATCGGCCGCCGCCTATCCGGATACCGAACGGTTTTCAAAATCAGGTATTTTTTATTTATGAGTATTTGAGAGACCAGCGACATATCTTTACACATACTACTGCTTGCAAGGAGTCCAGGAACATAGTGTTGCTTTTATTAAGAGTTGGCATTATTTGCATAAACTATTATAGTTTTCTTTTAAATATTGTTTTTTACTCATACGTAATCTCATAGGACGTACGAGTAGAGTATAATTTAGCATTCACAGCGTTTTAGATGTTTAGGTATAATTATCTCTCTACTCGAATGCTTCTTCTCTTTACGTCATACTTAAGAAATTTGGAAGAAGTCTGCTTTGGTGGCTACGAATGAATAATTTTGTTTACTTCAAGATTACCAGCTCTCTCACTTGATTCAGATGAAATATATGTATGAACATTGAACTTCAAAGTTTATGTGCGCCCACGTGCCGTAATATAATTTAGACCCGGCAGTGGGCGACGTTTGATTTTATTCATATTGTACAATATTACGTAGGCACCGTAGCACGTGACTACACTGAAACTGAAGTTCCACGTTCAAACATAATTAGTTTATTAAGTAGAGATGTTTAATTTATTTGTTCATTATTGTAATTTAAATAACTAACTGTTACCCGCCCCTTAATATGTGTTACTGGCAGCTTGTGTACCATTCTTTTTATAAACTTTATATTTTTATATCTATTTTTTATACGTCACTTTTGACTAATTCTATATTGTTTTGTTACTTCTCGCTGTGAGCCCTTTTGGGAATAATACACAAATTTACTAGTATTTGGTTTTTATTAAAATATTAGTTGTGTTCCCGCTCCAGTAACAATATGCTTTTTTGATATATCTATAAAATAACTTATACTAGTCTTCAAGATCTTATATCTTATCTTCATGTTGGATTTTATTAATACCCTTTTAACTGATTAGCCGTCAAAAGATATCGTACAGACAGATACACTTTTGCATAATATTTGTATATAGAATACTTGTTAACGATTTTCTTTTCTTAGATAAAAAAGGCAATGATCGAGTTAGTTATACAATCTATCTGAAAATAATTTTCATGAAGATCCGTTCAGTCGTTTCAGTCGAGAAAAGTTAACAAATAGACAGATAAACAGAATTTCAAATTTCTAACATTGGTATTGGTATAGATAAGGAATAAATAAATATATATACTTCTCTACTAGATACAGATAAACCAATTATGTTTGAACGTTGAACTTCAAAGTGTAAGTGCGCCCACGTACTACGGTGCCTACGTACCTACGTAACGCAATATAGTCCCGCCAGTGGGCGGCGTTTATGCCATTATGGATCTGTTGACTGTTCTCATCTGTTGAGGCAAGTTCCTAGTTTATTTAGGATATAATGATGATACATTGTGTAGGTGGAGTTTGTAATAGTATCTAAGTATACTCTATTCTTTTTTATTACTCTATAGTATATATAAATTATGTTTAAGGAATATATTCTCACTAATATTATAAACTTGTAAAGGTGAAAGTTTATATCAAATCAAATCAAAATATCTTTATTCATGTAGATCTATTATAGACTTAATCTACCGTCAGTTCGAAGTGCTTTTGAGTCAAGAAAACTGACAAGAAACTCAGCTCTTAATCTTTTCAAATGAGCTTGTTATGTTTACGAAAATACAGATTCATTTTTAAAATCAAATCAACTATCACAATTCTGTAAAAAGAAAATATTCTAATCAGTGCCCGTACAGTATGGATTAATGGATCTATGTTAATTTATCTCGTAATATCTGTATTTTTTACTGTTCATATTTATTTATTTGGAATACAGTTTTATAATGCTCTTAGTAACTATATACATAAAAATAAATTATAGTGAAACAGCCAGTACTATTATTTTCTAAAATAATATTTTGACCTAAATCAAAATCCACTTGCCATTGTAAGCATTGGGATATTCGTTTCATACGTCGACTATCTCACTCTAAATAACGTAAAATACCAGAGACAACACCACATCAGTATATAAGCCAATACGCAAAATACTGTCACAGATTCCTACAGCAATAACAACAATACTTTTATTGCCGTGAAAGCAGTAAATCATAAAACATTGGTGCCCATAAACTGGCCCTAAATTTAATCGTCCGACTCACTAAGGAGGCATAATATAATCTCGTAAAAATAGTTTTATTCCCGACTTGGCAAATCGCAAATTTGACATTTAACTCTATATAGCTTTATTTATATTGATACGTTCGTATATGTATGTATATACATTATCATTGCCTTGCCTTTATCTCATTACTTATTTTGAGATATATGTATATACATACTCCTATATATATATTACTCTTTGCATGCCTATGCCGCGTTTGGATCGTGCTATTTCATATTCCAAAACGTTTACTAATTTTATATGGATAGTACCAGACTTATTTGAAGTAATCGTTAATTTAAAATGAACCTTATTATTAAATGCATATACAATTTATTTATTAAATCCTGAAAACATAATTATTAGAGTTCGCCAGCTTATAATAGTTACAACGTGAACTAAAAGGCATAAAGTTTACGCCAGACTTAACGGTCAGTTAATTTTCTTTCATTTAACATTTATATAAAGCTAATAAAACGCAACGATTAAATGTTAACACTGATTGTATCTTGCCTTCAGGCTTGCACTTTGTATGCATTCAGTATTTATTTAGTAAATAAACAAGCTGTTTAGTTTATTTTAATTAGTTTGTTGCCACTTTTTTTTTAATATTTACTACTCACACATGAAATTAACATTGATTTAATTTGTGGTAACATGGTATTCATTATTAAATCAATATAAATATTAATAAAAGCAATTCAATCAACATCAAGAAGCTTAGAAGTTAATTAATTCTGTACATCTTGATATTATCAGCTAGATCATGAAATAAACAACTATTATCACGGCGATCAAACGACTTTGTATAGAATTTTATATAGTGTTTTCTTTCTCTTCATCTCTGTGGGTTTTTACAATATCCTTGATATGAACAGAAATGGTGGAAAATTGTATTCTCACGTTACCACTACAGGTTTGAGCTGTGGAAACATGTTAAACCCATAGGTCCAGAGGTTTGGCACACCGCTTTATTTCCGTTGGTCGCGGGTTCAGGGCCTCACATGCAAACATTTCTGTTCATAAGTATGTATAATTATTTCTATTGGTCTGGGTGTTTTCTATCTATATATACATTTACAAAAGAATGTTTAATAACAGCTGTATAATTTGAAATAAGCTTCTGTTAACTTGGGAATAGATGGCACTGTGTGAATTGTGGGTTTTTATTATAATTTCATGTATATTCTAGTAGTTTCGCAGAAAATCTTATTATTAAAATGATTACAGGCTGAAATCTTCAGTGTTGCTAATGTTACAATATATTATATCGTTTCATTAATTTTTCAGACCCCATTGGATAGCAGTCAACCGCCTATAGAAAGCATTTTAAAGGTATGTACATAACATTAGGTTATATTTGAAACTTGATTTATTATCACCTCATATCGAATCAATCTCATACTCAAATAGGCTGTAGTTATTTATATTGAATAATATATATATCATAGGTCTCAGGAAGGTATGATGTATCACTATAAAATAGAAAGGTGATCAAACTTTCTAATGCTAAATAAGTACCTGCTTGCAATGAAATCATCGGACCGCCAAAATAATAGTCACTGCCAAAAAAGAATAATTCAAATTATTTCAGTTGAGAAGATATCGCGTATTGGGTACATATAATATAAAAAAATATAGACGATTGGCTCTGTTTTTGAAGGTGGGTTGTCTAAATGTACCTTTTATGACGATAAAATTGGACTTAAGATAGCAAGACAAGCTACCCGGCCCGGCTACTTTATATGTATAATATATTATACATATAAGTTTCCGCTTGAATCACTTGTTAAAAAGTGCATTAAAATCCGTCGCGTATATTAAAAGGTCTAATCGAACAGACAGCGGAATCGATTTCATTTTATACTATGTAAAGATATTTTTTTAAATAAACACGTTGCCTATGAAACCATGTTTCTATATATATGTACATCCTAAGCCCAACCTAGTCTATAGCGAATAAGAGTTATTTTTTAAGTTGCGGACTTGTGGTATTCTTATAAAAATCAGACTTTACGAGTCCGCAATTCATTCATTTTCTGTAATCCAATATGATGAGATACGGGATTGGTTTCAGTCGACACCAAAACGGGTTCATCGAATTATTTTATTTTTCACGTAACAATGATATTTGTTACGATTTCGGAGCGCCATAAATTTGAACCCAGTTTGGCTGCTCTAGGGTTGCCATGTTTTATTATCTGATTTTAATTTAAATTTTAATCATTTGTTGAGGATGCGTATATATAGAACCTAATTAACCGGAAATGTAAAATCTAAACAAAAATAAACCACTGTCGCTATAAAACAAGTATGAAATATCAATATTAATTTTGAAATTAAATATGTCATCGCAATTGGAAGTTGTAAAAAACTAGTTCCAATTTGAATTTTTGGGAAAGTTGGTGAATCATCTGGTCAGTCAATACATGAAGACTATCATTGGTTTTTACCTTATTATACGCTTTATGACTAACCCTTGATAAAGGCTTAATAGCACCTACCACTTAGAAACAATATCGTCGTCAAAGAAATATTCGTGGTAAGCACATAAAATAACTGGAACATTCTATAATAATAAGGGTATTTTGTTTTTAGCACGGTGAAAGTGCAATTTCATAACAACTTCTACAATGATAAAATTAATAAACTGTATTTGGAAATTACTTTATTATTTGATTTTAATTTATTCTAATAAAAGTATAATAAAAGTAATTTTATCAACTGATGGTAACCCTACCCTACTCGAGCATATAGATATAAAATATGTGATTCTGCCGTTCATCCCATTTTCAGACTTCTGTAGGTAGGTCCAAGTTTTTATTCCCGTCAGTGAACCAACGAAATTGGAATTGCAAATGAATTTCCAATCGTGACCAATTTATGTATTGATAGCAAAATTACTGATTGGTTTAAAAATTTAAGCTAGTGACGGGTTGTAAATACAATTTACCTAGACTTGTACGTGGGTACCTAGGTTTAGGTTGGTCGATTGCGTGGGTTGCTAGGTTCAGGTTACCTGTTTTGTTTTGAAGGTTGAGATATGGAAGGAACAAACAAAGTGACTAGTTTCTGTAAGTGCACATTTTGTTTTGCAGGAGATGAAATCTCTGCCGACCCCCTTATCAGTGATAGCGGCTACGCCGCGCAAGGAGTCTGACAACAAGTTCATCTTCAATCCTTACACCAATAAGGTAAGATGATTACACTTATCTATATCTTCAACTACATCTATATCTATTTTTATATATGCCCGTATTATGGTACAGTCGCCTTTCGTGGTATGGGCATGTAATGCGTAGGAATGAAGATAATATTTTAAAGAAGTGCGTTACGTATATATAGGAAGAAGGCCGACAAAGAGATGGATGGACTGTGTGAAAGATGATATGATATATGTAAGAAAGGGAGTAAATAACGAGATGACTGTGAACAGACATGAATAGAAAACAAAAACATATTACGCCGATCCTAAATAAATGGTATAAGAAAGAAGCAGATGAAATAAATAAATAATTTCTAAGTTATATGTAAATAATATATAAATATAAAATCAAAATTTAATATTAACCATAAAATAAAAAACCTAATAATTTTTAACTAGGAACAATCTCGATTACGAATGCATAAAAAATATAAATGGATTAGAATTTGCAGCTACAATGCAGCAGTGACAGCCAGACATGTCAAACTTACTTATAACACCACTCTCTCCGCGTCCAGGGTTGAAAATATCTTTTTTAAGTCTTCCTAAATATCCTTGTATTAAATATAAACGTAATAGGTGTCGCTACTGTATAATCAATGATTAATTGGCATTCAGTATCAATTCCATTAATTAGCCACCGATTAATTCTATTTAGTTTTTGTAAAGACGACCGTTGAGAAGGTACAATGGCCATGTTCACTACTTTGTAGCGTGTTGAGATCACGATTGTAAGGAGATCGAGATCTGTTTTTCTCGTACTTGATCTTAGATGTCGATAGGAAACAAGAATATTTCTATTTAAGAACATTACAGAATAATGATCAGTAATTGAACATATAGTATTAATTACGTAAATCTATTCGTCTGTTGGGGCTGCATCACCGTTGGTTAATCTTTAGATGTTTAAAATAATATCTGATAGTACCACTTATAAAGTACGATATGTATACAAATTTAAAGATAAACATAATAATTTTATACTTAGATTTTTTTATGTAGTCATAATTGTAAACAGGCTTAGTCCCTTCTGATGTTAAGTGGTGGTCATCGCATATATACATAAACGGGAACACAGACTCACTGTCCGGGAATAAAGCCTGAAGATTTGCTTTAAAACTATCATGCCCTAAAAATTTCACAAAGTATTTGGAGTAGTGCTATGTTTTTTCTGTCTTATTTTCAGTGTAATCCATCTTCTTGGGTCACCATTAAACGTGTTTATGATAAAACTGAGAGCGGTGCCACAGAAAATATGTAGCTTTATTAAGATTTACCAATAAGAAAGTATAAAGAAGATCAGAAGATCATGTCCTTAGAAGCATGAGCTTAGTCTTTCGGAACGACAATGCATGAGTGGTACCACGGAAATACCATGATGCTGTTTATACGACGGTTGCCACTTACTGTCAGATTGCTTGCCTTACATAATATATTGAGAAAATAATTCTAATCGCCTATCTGTCAAAAGAATTAACGCAGGCCTATCGATCAAATATCGTAACTCTATAGTAAAATGCGAACGAAATCTATTCTGTAAAATTAATGGACAAAACCCCACCGGCAGCGGTAGTTCAATATATCAAATGTTACATACAGCTGGCGTATTGAACAGTCTGTATATATTTAATCAAGCGCACCATTCAAATATTCTTTGGAATATTTACACAAATTTATAGTTAATAGTTGTAATAATGTAATCCCTGGATATTCACATAGCGCCATCTAGTCTCGGTAATATACTAGTTCTAGCAGGCGGTTTCGCCCGCTGTTTGAATCTTTATATTGATTCTAATAAACATAAATACTGTATTTTAGTGTACGGGTGCAGTGAAAAGTCTGTATAAATTATTAGGAATGGAGCTTATGCCGAGGTAGAGTTTCCAAAAAATCATCTGAATACGTCATCGTAACATCCAGACTCAAATGAAATTAGAAAATTTTACCTAAATTGGCCCGATAGTGAATCGAACCTGGTAACTTATTTACATGATCAACGAGGTCCGTTAGTAAACCACTATTAGCCCATGACCCTCTTTTGTTTGCGATCATTATCATCATCATCATCGCAGCCCGGAAGACATCCACTGCTGGACATAGGCCTCCCCCAAAGATCTCCACGACGATCGGTCCTGCGCTACTCGCGATACCATGCGAAAATACCTTATTAAAAACTTGCTCTAAAAATCTGCATACCCCCAAGGTATAGACTCGGATATAAACGGTACAAACATCAGTATTCATGAGTATAATTGTTTGTATGAGTCTCGTTGTTTTCTATGTATGCATAAGTATGTATTTAAAAAAAAATGTATTTAAGTACAAGTTGTCTAGTACCCAGATTTGCTTAGTTTGGGACTAGATGGCGCTATATGAATTGTCCAAAGTTATTATTATTGTATATATAAGGTTCTATATTGGTCGTGTAATATTAATACTACCCTCTACAATTGATCTACGAGACGACAAAACAAATTGACTACAATTATTTATTTAAATAATTCAAGAAAAATATTTCACAGCTGAGACATTGGGGTGAATTAAATTAATATTCACGTTCGCAGGTGCAGGAAAATCCACAAGTGACCAACGATCTCAAAACACCCCTACCAAAACCCGGTAAGTTAATTTATTTAACTACATATATAATAATGCATTTTTTTTTTACTTTGTACGTAGAATTTAACGTACTTACTACGTTTTCTTCGTTCTCTATAGTTTTTTTGGCTTTTTGAAACTCGAAATATAATTCAGGTTAAGAATCCATTGGAAAACATAGTAATTTCTTTAAATTGTCGTACATATATTAGTTTTAAAACTTTAGTCCAAAATGAACATACGTTGTAAAGATAAAAGATAATAATGAGTAAGGGATTTACTTCTAAGTAATGTTACTGAATAATGTCTCTGATCACCAAAAAAATTTTTTGGTCTTAAAGACTTCACAAACAACATGATTTATCAACGGATCGGTTGGGCGATCCGTCGGGGTAAGAATGATTGTCTCACACACACCAACTTTGCAGCCAACTGCCTACACAGTTTGAGGAGTTTCCTCCCACGCACACTCAGATTGTGGAATGAATAACTTACCGAGGTTTTTTTTAGAAACTACGACATAGGATTTTTCATAAAGGGTATATTAAGGTTTCTTAAGGGTCGGCAACGTGCATGAGACATCTCTGGTTTTCACGTGTTCATAGGTTGAGGTAACTGTTTATCATCAGATTGACCGTATGCATGATTGCTACCACTGTGGTATAAAAAACTAAAATAGTAGTTTTGATTAGTGATAATATAATACTATTCCATAGCAGAATTGTATTGTTGTCTTGGAGTTGTGTTGGGGTAACTCAACATCTCAACAGGTAGGCCGAATTAAACTAGTCGACCTTCTCGCGTACTATTGTATCAGACTCGCCCAATCTAGTGCCAAATATATCCCTTCAGTATTAAAATAAAACTAGCTATACCCTGCGGCGTCGCCTGCATGTGTTTGAGCAAAATTATAGTAAGTCTTAATCTAGAATACTAATTAATATACATTTATTTTAACAAAATGACACTTTTATAATATTAGTAGGATTACGATTTTAATTGTAAATTAGTTGATAGAATATTATCTACGCAAGAGTATGGATTATAGCATATTATTGTATGATGTCATATATTAAATAAGCGAGTGCTATGATTGTGAGGCGGATTATTATTTATCAGTAGAGTATATCAAGGTTTAATATGAGAGAGATAATAGCAAATCAAAGGACTTACGAGGACGTCTCGCTCGAGGTTATATTTTTATTATGATTCATATAAATCTTTATAATATAAATAAATTAAATTCGAGTATGACCAATAAAGGATACACTTAGCTCTACATTACACTTCAAAGGAATGGCGATGTATAGGAGTTACCTACTAACGGTCTTGACAATGTATTAGGAAATATCTTTGTTGGCGTCGATTATCAATCTCCATTTGGTGGGCTAGTTTTATAAGCGTTCCAATTTAATATAAAAAATATGTCAGCTACACTTAATATTACAAAGAGGAAAGATTTGTGTCATTGTAACGAATAAAATCTAAAACTGATAGATCTTCTTTAACCTCGCCTGTATCCGTTACGCGGTGACGACTTTTCTAATCTTGAAGCGCTTTAAACTAATACAATCCTTGCACCATTACAATGGTATATTATCTTAGAGTGATATGGTATATATTTATGACTAGAAAAAAGAACAGAACACGACTAAAAATTCCCTAGTATAATTTATAATATTAATGTAACGCAAACTTTAAAGGAATTGCCAGTGTCCACCCCTACTAAGTTGATACAGGCTTCTAATTAATATCGGGTGTATAAAATAATGAGTCGATATAAAGTATAGTGGCGACCATCACTAGTGCCACCTGTCGAGAAACATGAATAAATAATTCGCGTATGGAATACAATAACACGGCACGTGTATACTTGGCCTGTAACATGCGCGCGCGCACGAAAACCGGCTCTATATGTACTCTTGAAACAAGTGTTTGCAGCGAATATTTGCACATGCTAAAGTTAACTGAATAATAGCAGAGCGAACTTGACATAACCGGATATTTGTAACCGCTAATAAGATATACTTGTATTAGTAAATTGTTTATTATGATGTAAGATTAGTACAAAGGGAAGTATATGTACCTCGGTCTCTCAAATGAAATCGAAACATCTTTATTAGAGACAATAATTGTAAGTAAAATCAAAAATCTATATGTATCTCTCTCTTATATCATATATCAGGCAATTTACTTCTTATTAAGCATATACTGTGTTTTGGTTTGAAAACAGAGAGATTACAGCAAAAGATAGAGTTTGTAAAAAGTAGTCTGCGTGGGTAACACTGCCTCACTCATTTCAGCTAGCCGCAAATAACTTTGTAAAGTTCTTGGAGTAAGATGTACCGCTGATGATCGAACTGGCCACTCAAACAAGCATCAGAATATACCATACATTGCTAGAAATGGGGTCAGCAGTCCACATTACCAACAATTTCCTTCCCTATAAAAGGCATTGTCAGCTGTCTAAGTTGTGGGGAACACAACAATTTATCCACATTTTGTCAAGAGTATTCGAATCCACGGTGACAGGAGGCGGGCCCACCGCCGCTCTGTGTTATGAAACTTAAAAATTCCCCGATATTGTTAAAAGTTTAACTAGTTGCTGAATTGTTTACGTATATTACTCTTGACTGCGCCGGGGTTCGCTTCACTTAGACTATCTAGTTTCCGTACGTCCCGCGGGTCCTTGTTTACGAGTATGTATATTTGTGCTAACTTATTTAAGTAAAAGCAGTAAACTGCGGCTGTAACCAGCTTTATACACCTTCATCTTCCATTATGCGAAACGAGTAAAGTTCTGAATGTCGTGCGCTGCCGTCAGATCAGTTCGTTTACGAAAAAGTAGACTAATAACAATAAACACCTATTTATTACACTAGTTACCCGCTCCGACATTGCTCGGTTGTGCATTACTTCGTGAATATGGACATAATAGCCTATGTCACTCTGGAACAGTAAAAATAATCGCTGGACAGTTCACACAACGCTATATCGTGCCAAGCTAAGCAGAGCTTGTGTTATGGGGTACTAGAAAACTTATACAAATACTTGGACATTATTTTTGTAAATACATGCATAATAATATAATTAGAAAACATACTCATGAATAGAAATGTTTGTCCCATTCAAGGAATCGAACTTTGAAATAATGTACAGTGAAATGTACGGTGTCGCCTTTTCTCACAACAACAAGACACATTAAAGTCCTCTCTCTAACTTTCTCTTTCTCTCTTTTCATAATATTAGTATTACTAGATTAGCTTCATCTTCCAAATTTGTCTTCGTGACAATGACATATATGGTTAAAAATTAATAGTATCTATCTATGCATGGTGCCTTCTACGTCCTAAATGCTGTGATTATGCCAAATTTCAGGATGACTCGAACTTATGATCCTTGGAATATCAGTCAGAACAGGTAACTACTAAACTACAACGCTATAAAAGAATACCAGTAGGTATAACAAAAAATAAGTACGTTTACATTAGTAAAGGTAGTTAATATTTTTATATTGATAACAGTTTTCATTTATTCGTAAACGGCACAGTGTGAAAATAATATTTTTACACTATTTCAATTTACCTAACTGTAACCCTAACTCGTAAATATTAAAAAGTACTCGGTTCAATGCAAAATAAAAACATAAGTTCAGATGGAAACCGTGCGATAACGAGGCGCGATTCGCGAATAACTGCGCTGCAAATAAAAAACAAAAAAGCCGCAATGTATGACTTCTAGTGGCGGTTCGTGGTTATTCCCGGTGCAATATAAAACATTTAAACTCCATTACTAACACACTACGTTTCAAATTATTTTTAAACCATCCACTTTTATTTGCCAATGATACATTTAATCGGATTTCTACTGGTTTTTATTTTAAATCTGAATACGGTTTGATACAATTTCCGTATTGTGCATCTAATAATGATACTAATGCCTACCCATTGATAGTAACTCAACCATATTAATAGAAATGATTAGTTTGAACATTATTAAGGTCCTATTGTCAAAGTCTATACTTCTATGCATGTGTGTGAAATACACGGTAGTGTGTATGTTTTTTTTATTAATTTAATGTTTTTTTTTATACATAAAATTCTAAATATTATGTATTTTTATTCTATACTACTCTATAAGGTACAAGTGTGCGAAATTTCATACTCCGTCTGCGCAATTTTCGCAAACTGAGGAGTATAAAATTTTTGCTTCACATTATTAATATAATGTTAAACATTCAATAACGACTATGTCCTAGATAGGGGGTGCTCAGAGGTATTGTCAACTGTCGTGTGGTTTATTACTTACTTTATACATACTCACAAAAACCTATGTTAGATTTATTACATACCATTAAGTCCTCGGAGAGAGCCTGGAGATCTGTAGTACAGGTTTCGACTTGGTTCAGACTCCAGACTCTCACAAGGAATAGCTTGTAAGATTAAATACATACTTTTGTTATTTTGTTCTTGTAAGTTTCCTTGTGAGCAGTAAATAAAGATTATTATTATTATTATTATATATTTCTTTATTAGGGCGAGCAAAGCAGTATAAAAACAACTAAACTAAAAAAATGTTTTCAACATATCTTAGCGGTGTAGACTGCGTTTAAATGTCAGACTGTCAGTCAGGATAAACCCCTTTACATGCATAGATCGATATATTCACACGATAGATTGGAGTGTGTTGCATATGACAGGAGGCCGGCTGCCTACGCGGGATATATTCGTTTTACTATTTGAACACTGATAGTTCCATTACTGTTCGTCGTTCCGTCGTACTGTCGAGTACTCGTTGATTTGTCAGCAGTCTAATGGATCTGTCTTTTAACAATAACGTACTAAAAAACTATGCTTTTTAAAATGTCTGCATGGAATTGATAGTGAGGACAATTATTACCATTATTACGAGTTAAATTGCAAATATAATAGATATAACGAATGGTATGCGGTAAATAGTATATATGGACAGCAGTGTGACCACATATCAAAGAATGCTTTCATGTACATCTTATGCAAATC